GTATTGATGACCATCTTGAGGTATAAAGTCGCTATCTTGACCTTTAGTTGCTTAGATTTCATTTTATAGAAGTAAATGGCTACTTTTGGTCTATAATGGTGCCATTTTTGTATTGGATCTTGTTATGAGGATATGGTTTCAGATTTGGACATCTCTAGACCTCTATGGACATAAAGTTGCTCACTTTATCTAGCCATAGCCTTTCCCCATGCCCTAAACTTTGTATAAACCTTAGTTTTAGTGTTTTAGCCTTGCATGAATGTAAAGTTTGCAACTTTACGTGGTAAATACACTATAAGGGGTTGGATATGTAATTTGGATCCTTGAATTCCACTGGAAAGGACTACACACAAAAAGGACTGAGGGGATTCGACGAGTTGCTTAGCCAACTCGATTAGTTGGGTAGGTTTTACCCGTATTGAGTTTCTAAGTGATTTCAGTGAGGGGTTAGAGTTTTTGGTCTGCATGAGTTTTCGGTCTTCTAGACATTAAGGAAGTCAATGAGTTTTGCTCTGCATGAGTGTGGACTCTGAAGGAACTCGACGAGTTGCTGGATGCACTCGACGAATTTGTGTCTGCATGGACTGTTGACCTTGACTTTCACCAGGGTTGACTTTGAGGGTATTTATGGTATTTCAGGATTTTGACAAGTTAATCACATGATGATTATAGGAAATGTAGTTGGAGCTGCGCCTGGGCACTTATCCAATCTTATCTTATCAGTTCAACATTTTTGAGAGGTGAGTCTCCTCACCATACCAATAGGTCCAACGTACCAAGGTCGGCCGATTATTTTTATGAGTTATGACTAGTTGGCTATAGGATATGTGGTATGCTAGGTATTTGTGATACTTGCGTGAAAGACCTCATGGGGTTCCCGAGGTGCTTATGTATAAGAGCTTGGAGGGTTTCCATGACATTCTGGTATATTTGCATGTGTGGTTTGTATGTTATTTCTTGGTAGTAAAAATCGTATGGGGGTTCCTATGGCAGGAAGACTGTCTGGGGTTTCCCACGGCAGGAAGACCATGTAGGGGTTCTCACGGCAGGAAAACCATGTGGGGGTTCCCATGGCAGGAAGACCATGTTGGGTTTCCCATGACAGGTAGTTAAGACCATGTGGGGGTTCCATTGGCACTAGGTGTAAGACCCTCGAGGGTTTCCATGGCATCCTTATATGTTGTATGCATGACTTGTATGGTTTATATAAGCTTTTATAGCTAATATGGATTATGTGGATTATGTGGAGTATGCTTTTGCGAACTTACTAAGTGTTAGCTTACAATTTGTTGAATTGTTTCAGGTACTTCTGAGCCTAAGTGCAAGAACAACGCTTGATGGCGCGACATGCACTCTTCGATACTTATTTTGATGAGACTGATATTGAAATAAAATATTGATGTTATGGAGTTTGAAAACAATTGTCATTGATATTTCATATTTTGTGAAAATGATTTGGCTTCTTAAAAATGAAAATTTTCTTTTGTAAATTGGGTCGTTACAAATAGGTTTTTTTACCTTCTATTTATAAAAGGTGATTTTTATGTATCTATATGTATAAAAACCATTATTATTATACATAAAATTACATTAAAGTACATATTTATAATCAAAAAATACTCTTATAGATATAAATATATTTCTTTTATAATTTCACATATAAATACACATAAATATGCACTAAAACCTATGAAACAAGAGCTCAAGATGGATAAAAAACGTATTAACACATTATTGAATATTTATGTGTATTTATACGTAAAACTACAATAAAAATATGTTTATATGTATAAAACATGTTATATATATGTTTAAATATGCATTTGAATGAACTTATGAGTATAATAATATTTTTTGTACATATAGATACATAAGCAAGTATTTATACAGAGAAATATTTAAAAAAATATTTAATACATATTAATTCATTTTATACATATCGAATGCGTCAATATCCATTTTATATAAATAACTACTGAGAAATATATACTTAAACTTCCAATGGTTTTGTGGATAAGTTAGTTGTCTTATTACTTGAAAGTCGTGGTTCAAATCCTACTTTTATATTTAATCTATTTTTAATTTTCAGGTACACATTATGTAGTATGGTGACCCTTAATTCTTCAATTCATGCCTTGGGTCAACTGTTAAGACTCCATATATTTGAGCAAGACGTTACGGGTTCAGACCCATTCAACCCTATGCTCTTTAAAAAAAATTAACAGCCGCATGCCACATTGCCACATTAGCTTTCTTAGACTAAGTAGAGTGTCACTCGCCACTTGACTCGCCCGCCTCGCTAGAACACGCCTAGCCCTCGCTAGGGGGGTCGCCACTGTAGACACGCTAAACTTTTAGCCAGAAGAAAGAGATGACGGGGAACAAATTTGATTGGTGGGATTAAGGCTCATGTAGAGGATTCGTTCTGCATCGTAATCAGTCCTTATCTTTTCCAAGCGTTTCTTTTCGCCGAGTTACCAAACATTTAATAAACATGAAAACCCTAGTTTTTGATTCGTCTGATGGGATTAGGGTACATGAAGGGGATTTATGCATAAATGTTAGTTTTGTTATCTAGGTTATTGAACTGCAAGTATTGGTTCATTGGATTGGATTAATTGAGTTTTAAATTGCATCTGTTTAAGACGTTTCAATATTTGGTGATTTTAGTTGGCTTAATCGAGGAGGTTACTGACCAAAGCTAAATTAGTATTTTGCTTGATTGCATAATACCATGCTTCTGTTATAACTTCTTTGCCACACATTTGTTTCAATTGCATTACATAAGATTTACTTCATGATTATATACTAGCTGAATTTCTTGGTGGGATTAAATCGAATTAAGGGTAGTAATTAGGAACCGTTGAGGGATCATACTTTATAATGGGAAGAATTAAAGACTGATTTGGATGGTAAGTGCATGGTGTTTTACCTAAGTTATTGTAATATTAAAAACGGTTGTTTATTATAATAAAATAATTAAATATTATTCCTCAAAGATCCAACGAGAGAGAATAGAGAATTATTTTTAAAATATTTTGATCAAATGAAAATTTTGGACATTACATATTTGCTTATTTACGAACGACCCATTCCAAATTAATGGTGATTTTGGTACCTATAATGTTGGTTGTACACATATACTTCATTTTTGTTAATTTCCTTTTAAACACATTTATAGATTAGATGGATAAGATATAGATTTTCGATGATCGAAAGGGAGCCCCAAATTAAGAATGGGCAATTTAAAACAAACCACATAAAATAGCCTAATCTATCTACCTAAATAGAAAGGGGAAGAGAGGAAAAAACAATGTTCGTTCGCAATATTTAGTTATTAAAGTTTAGAACACTCTTCCCGACCATATGAATTACTTTGCTACTAATTAGGTCAATGTATCTAATTTTCATTCCAATTATTAACAAGTTATTATTTTTTAACTTTTTTATTTTTTTAAACAGCAAATCTAATATAATTTTAAACTACTTTTATTTTCAAATGTCTCCAACAAAACTTCACCCTCGATCTTAATGAGAGAGAACAACACCTAATACCGCAAGGCTATCAGCCATTTGATAACAAGTGTTTACTTAATTCCGTTTTTTTTAACTGAATATTGAATTTAATTCGATTTGATTAATGATTATGAAATATTTAAAGATTATCATTGAGGGAATTTAATTCGATTTGATTAATGATTATGAAATATTTAAAGATTATCATTGAGGGATTCAGACGATAGAACACAATGAAATATCTGATATGCTTTTTGTATCTGTCTATATGTAACGATATACAATTTATTTTAATTTTAATCAAAATGTTTAACATAAATAATTAATAAGGTGATAATAGTTAAAATTATTAATATATTTTCTTTAAAGTATAAAATTCACTCATCATTCATCTTGTATTCGTTTTTATGTGGCTAACATAATAATCCAGACAAAGGACAGTATACTTAATTACATCAACACTATAAACATATATGTTCAATTAAACACGTAAATAATATATTCGAATCATTCAGTCCATATTGCAAAAAGGAATATCCAAGTTATGATAAAGAGAACGCACCCGAATATTGTGTGGGCATCCATCCTCATCAAAGATTATGACGCGGAAAAGCAAATTATGTCCTACCAAAAAAAATATATCATTTATAGATCTGAAAACAACATTTCTTTGTCATGTTATGGCAACAAGACCATTTTTTAAGACCCTCTAAAAAATTTTGCAAGTTGATGGCCAGGATGTAACATATTCTCTCATCTTTCTGTATTGCAGGCCTTGCAAATATTATTTACGGAACACCTCCTCAACGATTAGTAGAAAAAAAATAAGTATTTTTTTTTAAATGCTTTTAAAGCTAAATTGGGATTTGGTCCCAAACATTAGTGTAACCATTTAAAAAATCTAAAAAGATACGTAAATAAAATAAGATTGTGTTTGCAATCTAATATCATCATGAAAGTTTAAATAAACAAAACAACATATCACCATTTAAATATTTAAATATGTGAATTTATGTTCAAATTTGGGTAATATTGTTTTTTTATACTCATTTACCAAACCAATTTTTTTAAGTTATTACCTATTTTAGTCGGTTGCATTGATTTAACTCAGTTAAAACACATTACGTGTAATCTTACATGACAATTGCACTCCTTTCTCATTTAATTAGGGTTCATCATCGTTAGCTTGGGATAAGGTCCGAAAACACACCCTGATTACCTTCTTCTGTGAGAAATCAATCAATATATCAAATCGACGATCAGGGTTTGGAATTGAATGTATGAGTTGATCAACTGTTAACATGCATCCTCATCAACATGTATGTATATATCAATAGATTTTCATTACAATGGAATGTTTTCGCCAAAGTCATTAGTGTACTTAGACCCTATAAAAACAAGTGTACATGATGTGGATTTTGGGGGATTTACATATAAAGAGTTTCTTTTCTGTCATACGAAATTAACCAAATGAGCATGTGATAATGTTTACTACTATATTAGAAAGGAAAGCTTGTGTGAGGGTATTAGAAGACTCGACAGTGATGCTGATTATTGTGAGTTTGTGGAAACTGTTTATAGTATTGATAGTGATAGTCTTGAGAGTGAGTTTGATGTGTACATTGACCACTGAAATGAACCAATTCTTGATTGGGATGATAACAAGTTGTTAGCAGATGGTAAAGGGTATGCGTCAGATGAGTTGGATAAAAAGGATGACAAGGATTTTGAACTTTTAGAGACAACGGAATATGAACATGAATGTGATGAAAAGGTCCATACTTTTGATAAAACTGTTGGAGACCCATTCTTGGACAAACTTTTAGGGAATATAAGTGATGATGATGAGGAGGATGAAGAAAACAATGGAAAAGACAAGGATGTTGTGTTCCCTGTCCGTACTGAGGATCAAGAATGGGAGCAAATGGTGCCAGTTTTGAGTATGAAGTTTTCTAACCAGTTGAAATTGAAGTTGTGTGCCACTAACTATGCACTCAAAAATAGATATGATTTATGGTATGAAAAAAGTGATCATCAAAGATTATTGGTAAAATGTTTTAAAGGTAAGACAAATAAGCATACCAAAGGTTGTTTTAGGTTGTGGGCAACCTGGATGACCAGTGATAAATCATTTTAGATTAAATCTCTAAATGGCAGGCATAATTTTGCAAGAGTATTGAAATATGTGTCCATTGTTACCTATAAAGGGATAGGAAATCATTTCATGAATTAGATATTTCAGAAACCAAAGATGATTATATGGAAGTTGAAAGCTAAAGTCATCAAGGAATTTAATTTGATTACAAGTGTTGGACAATGCATAAATTCAAGGAAGTATCCATTTTTGGAGATAGAGGGTTGCTTAAATGAACATTATGCAAAAACATGGAGCTATGGAGAAGTGATAAAAAATGACTAACCCTGCATCAACAGTGAAGATGGATGTAGATGTCATGCCTGATGGAACCACTTATTTCTCAAAGTTTTATATATGTTTCAAGGGGTTGAAGGATGGATGGATTGATGGTTGTTGGAGGGTAATTGGAATAGATGGTTGCTTCCTAAAGGGCATATGCAGAGGTCGTTTGCTTTCAGAAAGAATTACAAAACTTAAGATAAGAAAGAAGTAGGAGGGGAAACAGAGAAGTAGTGGTGAAAATCTGTATGAGTTGGAATAGCTTTTGGCTTCTTGGACTGTTATTAATGTTTTGGCATGTTAGACTGACATCTTTTAACTTTGGAATATTTTGGCACATCTTTTGAAATCTAGTTTAAATAGCTTAAATGCATGTTTAAGTGTGTAGTGCTTAACTTATTGCACATCTTTTGGCTGTAAGGAATGTTTAACGGTATTATGCATAACCTTTGACACATCTTTCGAAATCAATTTTCCCTAGAATGTTTATAATTTATTACCATCTTTTATACATCTTTGTAATACCATTTGTAATTTTTATAATTTTGTAACACCCTGATTCCCAGGTGTTGTTTAAATAAGATTTATTGGGTTAAGCTCTACTCGACGAGTTGGTTTCCTTACTCGTCGAGTAGCAGCGAGGTGGGATCGCGTGTTAAGTGACCTACTCGACGAGTCCAAATTGAGACTCGGCGAGAAGGAGTTGGCAGATGAAACCCTAAATCCTGGGGTTTGCACTCCTATTTAAAGGAGCCTCAGCCTCCTTTGGCCTCTTTGTAGTCTTTGAGAGGTCCTTAAAACATTAATTCGTGTGGTATTTCATTTTGGTGTGTCTTAAGCTTGGAAAGAAGGTTGGATAGAAGAGAAAAGCTAGAAGTGCAAACGAATTGAAGCAAGGAAGTTGTGGGAAGCAGAATTTACCTCAACTAGCATCCCTTGGAGGTATCAAGTTGCCATCCTTACTTCCCTTTTTCCTTTTGTTGATTTTTTTTTTGGGGGGGGGGGGGGGGGTTATGGATTTTGAGGTTGATAAGGTGTGGTATGGGATAGATTTGAAGTTATAACTTCAGATTTGGACCCTCCTTAAGTTTTAGAATCATAAAGTTGTTGTATTGGTCATGAATGAGGCCCCACTTGGGCTTAACACCCCATTAAGAGCTTAGATTTGGCATTAAGAACCTTTGTAGCTATGCATGCACATAAAGTTTGCAACTTTACGTGAAAAGCATGCCCTAGAAGCTTGGATCTGTGATTTGGAGCCGCTGCATGGCTCAAAATAGGTTTGTATGAAAAAAGGACTGAATGGACTCGACGAGTGGCAAGGTTGACCCAGCGAGTCACATGGAGATGGCCGTGAACTCGACGAGTTGGAGGAACAACTCGACAAGTCCGATGATGATTTCCATAGACTCAACGAGTTGAAGAACAACTCGGCAAGTCGGATGAGTTTTCTCCAGGATATGTATGTGTGTATATCTATCGAGTTGCAAGGAGGAAACTCGTCGGGTGGCCTTAAAGTTTGATCGAGAATCGAAGGAACTCGACGCGTCACCTCGATGACTCGGTGAGTATCTGAGGGTACTCGACGAGTAAAGGTCAACATGGACTATTGACCTTGACTGAGGACTTTGACCTTAACCAGGGGTTGACTAGTGGATTATGGAGTACCTTATAAGGTTAAGGACTTACGAGTATATTGTACTATAACAATAGGTGGTGGAGCCTGCATCAAGTGATCTGAGAGTTGGAGTTTACCTTCCGAGTCGACAGCTGCGAGGTGAGTTATCCTTACTATATTGATAGGGTCTATGACACCAAGGCCGGCCGTTTATTTATTATTGTTATGGTATGCTACATGTGGTTATGATCTGTTAGATCGGAATCAGAGAGATAGTATGTTATGCTCTTATGATCCGTAGGGATTGGTATGTTAGTGACCTGTTAGGTCGGTACTCTAGTTATAGGAGAATTCTATGATTGATGATCAGTGAGATAGATATGTTTGATGTTTGTATATGCCAGTATATGATAGTTATGCGCACATGTTTATATGCTTGTTGGCTGGGTTGAGGCGGTCCTGCTTTGTGCTGAAGGCCAACATATCCTATGAGCGGTCTGGGGAGACTGTAGGCCCACATGGCGGACCGGTCATGCTGAAGGCTTGGGATAGATCCAAACAGACTGTAGACCCGGTAAGGCGGTCCAGTCAGGACGAGGGCCCAATATGCATGTTGTTTGATTGATTATTACTGATATGGTATTGCTAGTGTGGTATCGGTATTTTGGGGGTAGCTCACTAAGCCCTTGAGCTTACAGTTTTCAGTTTATTGTTTCAGGTACTTCAGGAGATCATGGAAAGGCGAAGGTGTGACTGTACCACTCCTCATCCTTATGTTATGATTTTTGGGACACTCTGATGGAAAAGGATTTGAAAACATTTTGTAAACAATGCTATTTGGTTTTTATTTATGATTGAAAAAGTTTAAATTTGGCGTAAAATTTATGGTTGTTAAAAATTTATTACCATATTTTATAAGACCAAGTGTAATCACAATTCCATTACAATGTTTGTACAATCCATTCTAATGATTCACAATTCCATTACAATGTATGTACAATTCTATTCCAATGGTTTATAATTCCATTACAATGTTTGTATAAATCCACTCCAATGATTACTTCCATTACAATGTTTATTACCATCTTTTATGATACCAAGTGTAATCACAATTCCAGTACAATGTTTGTACAATTCCATTCCAATGATTTACAATTCCATTACAATGTTGTGCAACTCCATTGCAATGATTCAATTCCAATAGAATGTTTATTACCATCTTTTATAATAGCAAGTGTAATCACAATTCCATTACAATGTTTGTACAATTCCATGGCAATGATCCAATGTAGCCTTCTTCATTCAAAAAATTAGAAACAACACATAATTTAGTCGTACTACATCATGAACTACAATTTAAAACAACATTTTGACATACAAGAGAAACATCACAATCAATGCAAGTCTATGAGTAGACAATTTCCAATTGACTTTGCCCAGTTCTTGTTTATGGTTGTTCTTCTGTTGTTCGATCTTCATCTTGCATATGCTGATTTTATTCTCCAAGGTACAAATTTTCAAGGTAAGATTGCAACTTTCTTCTGGTTTCATCCTATAATCCCTTCTTCCATCTTTCTCCCCTTCATCCTCATCCAACCATTGAAAAAAATTTATGGTTTGGACTTTTTCCATTCTTCAAGAAATGTATAAAAACATGTTAAATTGAAGGACGAATAAGAAAAAGAAACAAAATTTTGATTTACCAGTGAGTTTTGACAAACTTTGAATTTCCTTCCAGGATTGTCAGGGGTTCTTGATGTCTTTATGCAAGATGGAAAGTCGTAATCACATGGATGATCCGGTTACAATTCGTCTTGTCGTTTGGAAGAAAAATATGAGGAAGAATATGCCATCGATCGATCTAAGATTTTATTTAATAAGCAGTCGTATCTCACCCTTCTTATAATGTAAACCATGACAAATACATACAATAACACATAAGTGATGAGTATTACAATGTAGAAGCCCCATAGATGCCACATTAGCCAAAACCTATGTTAACCGGTAATGTTGGTTATTTGTGAATGACTGAAACAATTTAGTTGGGTAAATGAGTACAAAAAAAACAACATTACCCATATCTAAACATAAAAAATACTTAGTTAACTTAGCATGTCAAATTCCCTTTAAATATCCAAGCTTGTTATTGTAAGTTTCATCCTCATCTGTAAATACATGCTAAAATAAAATGTTAAGATTGGGGAATATAATTAGTAATACAAAAATCCAACTATAGAATGAAATTGGATACCGACAATAACCCGATTCAAAATCCATGTTTCCCAAAATCATTTGCAAAAGCTTTTCATAAATATCAAACCATTTTATGATACTTCAACTACATATAAGCTTTAACAATATAGGAAATTACAATCAAATGAGGCAAACACACATACATCAATCTCAATCCTAATCAATTTCTCTCAAGTTAGTCCCTTTAAACTAGGGTCCTCATGACCTTTTTGGGATAGCTCAGGCTGTAGCATAACACTAAACTCGTTGTGAGCTACACAGGTCAGTTTTTATAAAATTAATGACCATCTCATGAATAAACAAGGAATGGGTTTGCTAATTCCTTCCTCATGCCACTAAGAATCAAATATGGGATTTGATCCCCTCATGTTACTAGACACTCGTAAATCAACCCATCCTAGCATGCAATGCACACGTAGGGTGCTTTAATAGTTTTCTTAAAACAAAATAACCTCGTTCTAATAAAAATTTCCAAAATCTTATTTCATGCAATTCATAAACATGCCATACGGCCATATAGCAAACAAGACATATATAGGTAAAGTTGATCATACTTAGAAAATTTCTCAAATGGTAGTAAGGGTCGTGTACTCTCTGTAAGTATTCATCTCAATAGCTTAGGATGTTAGTTAACCTTCCTTTAATGCTTAATTTTCCTACTAATCACCACACACACATAAATATATATATATATATATATATATATATATATATATATATATATATATATATATATATATATATATATATATATATGATCAACAAATTTCCAAAATACCCCTAAATGATCCTTTAACTCTTTTAGTCATGTTTACTTGTTGTAACCTCCTAGGAAAGTATGTGAACAATTAGAGGTCGAAGGTTTAAGGGGCAAATTATAAAAAATGTTGATACATACACTAGTTGTGATACAGTCGTGTAATATTTTCCCTTGAGATTCTAAGCCCATGTAATATTCAATTCATCTCTTTCCAAAAGCATTACACGATCATGTAATTACATTACAGGATCGTGTAATAACGTTATAAGATCTTGTAATAACAATACACAATCATGTAATATTACTGATGGTTGCTTAATAGGCCATGTAATGTTTAGCTGCTCATAGAAAATAATTGTTTCTCAATATGGCAGTGTACTTTCCAGCATTTGCTTCCAAACTTCATATATATTTCCTAATGAATTTAATTACTGTGAACCACATTATTTTTATTATTGTTATCTTGTTCTTATTATTGTATGTTCCTTCTGTTCTTTTTATCGTACGTTATAAACCCCTAAAATATACTCTTCATAGTTTACAAGTATGTTTGTTTGAACTGTTACTGATTTGAATAAAAGACTCATTTATCTACTTACTTATGATTGTACTTTAAATGGTGTTTTATAAACAATAAAGTAACATAACTTGAAAGAGTTTTTGAAATGGTTTTGATCACTTATAAAGTATAATAAATCCTTTGAATTTGATAGTGATCATAAATAACATTTACACAATTATCATTGTATTCAACTTGTATCCCCCCGCCCCCCTAAAATCATTTAAAAACATTTAGAAGATTGAATATAGGGGTATGAACTCACCTTATGTGGGTGATTCAATTGCAGATTTGTGTAAGGATAAGAAGTTCCACGAATGAACACCCGAGACACAAATGAGTCCTAAATGACATATATTGGCACATATAGTCATGTAATTAGTGTTTAATATAACTAACATGCAAGGAAACAACCTTAAAGACTAGGAAAGACTTGAAATAAAGTGTTGAAATCACATGTGATTGATTAAAAGGGAGTGTACGGCCAAATGAAATGTATTTACGGCCACACCATGTGTGTACAACCATAAAATCATGGGAAATAATACAAAAATGGAGTGTTTGATCCATGGGGAAACTAATGTGCCAAGGTTACAACAAGAATATGAACAAAACTCAGATTTTGGAGGGACTTGAGGAGTGTACGGCCACACCAATTGTGTATGGCCGTAAACACTCCAAATGGTGGCATTTTGGGTTTTGATTCAAGGGTTCAAGAGTTCTAAGGGATAACAAACATCTATATGTGTTTAAGGCTAAAGATATGACCAAAACAAGGGTTTATAGCCATAACAAAGAGTTTACGGTCGTAAACTATTGAAGTATATGTCGTTAGATGTTGTTTAAGGGCTAGGAATCAAGTGTTACACATGCTTAACTGAATGATAGAAGGGGTACTCACACTTTGAATGTGTTTGAGGAGTTTACGGCTCAAATAGATGAGTTGTTCTCGCCCCCCTTGAAGAACACTTGAAGATCTTCATGTTATGGCTATTGTTTGAAGATCCTAAGTTGTATTCTAAGGAGATATAAAGGAAAGAGGTTGAAAAGAGTGGAAATGGTGTTCTTGAATTTATGATACATGAGAGAGAATGGAAGCTTCTTGAGGTGAAACTGGGAAAAATGAAGAAAAGTGAAGGAATATCCTTATATAGGGCCTGAGTTCATGACCTCTTGGAGTGTATGGTCGTACACTCATGTTTATGGCCGTACACACCACTTGATCGTGTTTTTTTGGCTTGAATACAACTTGTAGAACTTAATTTAACACATCCCTAAACCCAATCCTTAAGTTTACTAGGCTTAGAACTCATTAAACGATCCTTAACAATGCTAAAAGATAGCAAAAACGATTCGAACTCTCGATTGGTTGGCTGGACTTATAAGACAAAATTTTTTAGGGTGTCACATAGTGGATGCCTCTACTCAGTCTTGTTAGAGAGCAATAGAGGACATAGCTACAATTATTTCAAATGCCAAGATTTTTCTAGAATCTCTTCAAGGAGCCGCAGAGACCAATGCCAACAACGTCAACACTACCATTGAGTCGCTTTCCAAATCTCTTCAAGATGAGAAAGAAAATTTTGATTTGGTGCGCTCAAGTCTTCATGCTGATAAAACCAGTATTTTGTCCTCTATCACCACCCACCTTAACAAACTTCAAGTTGATCTTGCCATGGAGAACAAAATTATGGATGAACTAGCTCGCAAAACTACTTTGCTTGAAGTCTAGTCCATTCAGCTAACCCAGGAGCATAAGGAGATTGAGCGTTTTTGAAGTCATCAAAAGTTGTGTTTTTGATGTCTTCGCCATTCTCACTAATTTAGCTAATGTCCATGATTTGGTTCTAATTCTCTCAGTTCGAAACCACTTGACTGAGAAGTTACTTTCTACTCTTGAAATTTTGAGCCGACTTGACGGTATTCCAAAGCCGATTGTAACTCCGCAACAAGGGGGAGATGTTCAGCAAAATCCTCTCAAACAACCTTCTATAATTCTAAAAGTCACCACTAAACCGAAGGGTAATGATGCTTCAGGTTCTAGTGTGAAGCACAAAGTGAAGGGTGTTATGGATCAGGGTGGCGAAGAGGAGGAAACTATAGAAGAGGCATTGAAAAGAAAGAGAAGGGTTACAGAGATTGATGAAAATCTCAGGATTTCCAAGGAAGAAGAAGAAAAGGAGAAAAGAGAGAAAGATACTCATGACACTTTGGTTAGTAGACAAGCTCTATTTTCACTGTGGTCATTGGAGAAACTGATCAAGGAAGCGATTGAGTCCGCTAGTTCTTATTGGCTTGAATCAGTCATTTCTTTTGATTGTGAGAATACAAAGGATTCTCAATTTGACATGCCTATCACCTGAAAAGCCTTCATGTTTCATTGTTTTGATGCGATAGCCAACGTCCCTTCTCCTGATCCGAAGGTTGATCGAGATCTAATCAACTACTACCTTGAATTCTCTCAACCACAATAACTGACGTGGAGCGCTCAAAAGATTAAATCAATTGAGGTATTCAAACCGACTCCTGCGGGTTCGTTTATTAACGTCAAATTCAAAGTCACCCGAGGATCAGATAGTTCGGTCCATATGATCTCATTGGCTGATCTACCGAATTTGAACCCATATGATTGGATCTTTCTCAACAACATATTGCTCTTAGATCAACAGTAGTATGAGCCTTTTATTGACCATATCAAGTGAATGTTCGCTTCTTACAATCAGGAAGTCGTGAAGATGGATCAGGAGATTGCAAACGTCTTTTGGAAGAAGCCCACTGTCAAACTGATTGGGAAGACTGGTGATGTGAAGAGAATGAGAATGGGAAAATTTGATTCAAAGTATCATATCGTCATGTTATCTTGAGGCGAAGGTCAAAAATTTGTGTTTTCTCTTGATGATAAGCACATGTTCTCCACTTCATGTTTGTAGCATATTATTGACATTATACATATGTGCAAACAGAACATTGAATGTGATAATAAGAACTTTACGAATATGCTTTAGTGGTACATCAATTTTCGCCAAAATCTTCTTGCCATCATACCAAAGATATTCAAGA